TATATGTAACCATCATATTTACTAAATTTAATAACAAGAAAAGTCAAAAGTTAATTAATGCATTCTATTTTTATCATTTTTCAATTGTAATATTATTTTATAGCTAAAAATCCAGTTTGGATTAATGTCATCCTTTATTGATGTGTTTTGCAATAAAATCGAACAAATAGACTTCAAGTAAAAACATGTCTCATTTCAAATTTAAATTTATATATTAAATTTCTTATCATTTTGTTATATTAAAATCCTAAATGAATTGTTTGCCATAAAATCAGACAAAATAATAATGGCATAGAATTCAAATAAAAACATGTCTCATTTAAAATTAAAATTTTAAAATTTCTTATCATTTTTTTACATTTTCGGATGATTTGTTTCTTATAACATCGGACGGAATTAATAATTTAGAATTCAAGTATGATTTTGAATTTATATCTAGGATGTTTAATAAATGCATAGATTTCAAATATGTTTATTTATTATGAAAAATAAATTTAAAAAAAAACATTTTTGTATATTTTGTAAAATGTTTGTACAAAATGTTTTACTTTAAATTTATTACATTATTTAAAATAATTACACTAATAAATAATATTAACATACATTAATAATTTTAATTACATAAAACAAAAAGAATAAGAAGACTACATCTATAATCTGTATAAATAATAATAATGACATTATATATTATATAATTATTTGAGTATTATACGAGGAACAAGATTACGTAAAATTATTATTTTTCTTATATCAAGGAAAAAATATATAATAAAATCAAATTTATATTATTATAACTATGTGAGCTGGATAATATATTAATTAATTTACGGTCAGGGCTACCACTAGAGATGTTAAACGGGCTAGCCCTAGCGGGCTTCGGGCAAAACAGTCTGGGCCTAAAAAGCCCGGATTTAAACGGGCTACCAATAAAAGGACCTAACCCTAACCCTAGCGGGCTTCGGGCTAAACGGGCTAAACGAGCTTTAATAATAATAATAATAATAATAATAATAATAATAATAATAATAATAATAATAATAATAATAATAATAATACTAATAATAATAATAATAATAATATTGGGCTAAACGGGCTTTAATAATAATAATAATAATAATAATAATAATAATAATAATAATAATAATAATAATAATAATAATAATAATAATAATGATAATAATAATAATAATAATAATAATGTATCAAAATATCAAAAATAAAAAGAAAACAATTATAAAAAATTACAACGACTAATTAACGATTGTTTTCAACGGTATTTATTATTTGCTGCTCTATATATGCAACTACACATCATATATGAACACATACTAGCTACAAACGCTTAAATAACATTTTTTTTTTTCAAAAAAAAAATATTCGAAATATTACTTACAATTACCATTTCACTACTTATTTTGTATGCTTTGAAAATTTTTACGATATTATACCACTACAAGTTTTATCACTATGTTTCATGTGTCAGATCTTTGTCTCATTTGTTTCCTATTAGTCGTTCTGATTGAGTTTATTATTTTGGTGTGGAGTACAATTAGAATATTGTTAATAATTATTTTTCAAAATCAATATAATCCGTTACAGCTCATACTTATATGTGAAGTGGAATAGCAAAATTTTAATATAGCAAAATTGTATATGAATTCAACTAGTAAAAAACTAGTTTTTTCTTAACTATAGTTAAGTTTGAAAAAAAATGGTATGGTTAGTTGTTAGTGGATATATTAAAATAATATTTAAAATAAAATAATTAAAGTTGATTTGATATAAAAGTATATGAAAATGATTAGAAGTGATGGTTAGTTAAAATTATGTGATTGGATGAATAGTGAATTAAAGTTGATGTGATGTGTAAGAGTGAAGAGTTGATATTATTTAATTATATAAATAATATTGGAGATAGTGGGGTTGAGTTAAAGTTGAGTTAAATTTAAGTTTTAATTGGTTTTTTTACTGTACAATTCATATCCAATCGCCCCCTTACTTGCCGCAAATATTTACAACGCCCAACTCAAGTTAAATGGGCCAGCCCTAACGGGTTTCGGGCTAGCCCTAACGGGCTTCGGTTTAAACAGTCCGGGCCTAAAAAACCCTGATTTAAACGGGTTACCAATAAAAATCCCCAACCCTGTTTTTTTCCGGGCTAAACGGGCCGGCCCGTCGGGCCAAGTACCGTTTAACATCTCTAGCTACCACACTCAGGTTTAATGTCCCAACAAAAAAAAAATGAAGTTGATGAAAAGAGGTAAATAAATAGATGATCAAACTCTATCATTTTTTAGGCATGAACGGACAACCCATATGATCCACTCATTTAATATCTCCCGG